TGGTTTGATCAGGATGTGAACATCAAAGAATCACCATCAGAGTCTGGCTGCTCTGCTACTGTCACTTCATCATCAGGGTTTAAGTTTCCTCAGTGTAAAGTGACTCAAACTGAAACTAATGAAGAGTTTACCTTCAGTCTGCAGCCGTCAGGTGAGAAGATGATAAACTGTATAAGATCAGTGACGTCACATGAAACTGTCTTTGGCTCTAAAACTTGTTCAGAGCTGAAATGTTTTCTAATTTGTTTTGTTTTTTGAATCTCAGGAGGAAAAGTTGAGCCAACAACAAAACCTGGAAACAGAAATTCACTGTCAGCCAAACCTACATTTCATGTTTCATCATCAGTTCATGGTAATAATTTTTATTGTCTAAAAATATTATTTAAAGATTTACTTGGTTGTCCAATTTTCTTCTAAAACACAACAATTTAAATTGATTTATTTCATGTGAAATGTTGAAGCACAATGACACCTGAAAATATCAAAGTCATAATCCATCAATTATTTGAGGGATAATATTAATATATATTTTAAAATAATTTATTGAGTTTTTGCTAAGGAAATGAATTAATCCTATTTGGTGATGAGACATTGTTCAATCATGAATGAATCAAAAATCACAGAATTCATTCTGTCATTTTATTCAAGGGTCAAATAAAACAATGATCTTTGAGCAGCTTGGGGTTTTCATCACCTCTGTTACACACTTTGAACATCAGGCGTCTTCAACTGACATGATGACGTCTGTCAACCAACTCAGTGAGTTTGGCTCAATTTGTCCCAAAGTAAACGCTCCTTACCTGGAGGACCAAGTTGTCGGGTCTGCAATTCGCTGCAGTCTGGCTACTGATTTGCTGATTGTTTGCTATTAAATGCTCTGCAGTCATTGAGATTTGACAGAAAATAATCAAATGTGAAAAGTTATCAGTGGGGAACAAGCACAAGGCAGCTTTACCCAGAGCATTTAGAGGGAATAAACTTTATTCCATTTTCAAATCTGGAGTCTGAAAAAATATAAACGATGGATAAATGCCTGCAGCCGACCTCATGAACAGCCGAATACAGAGATCGACGGCATTAAAACCACATGTTAGGATGAAGGTTTTTTCATCATTACATCATATGATTAATGGTTAAAGATCAATATCAAACTTGGTCCAAAACAATAAACATGTGGTGTGTCTACAAATGGGTTCAGTTCCTTTGTAAAGCACCTTTCAGGCATGTGGTGCAAATATTCACACAGCCTGACATCTGTGATCAAATCATAGCTCAGATACGCACTATTAATAATTGATCATCTACTTATTTCAAGTGCAAAATACGCACAATACAACTGTTCAGAGATATGACAAAAATCTCGACTGATCAAATATTTGGAATATTAGAAAATATAATAATAAAATGTAAAATATTCTTCAAAAATGCCAATTTTGAGCAGCAGAACAACCTAATAATTCATCATCACGTTTCGTTGCAGCACCGCTATGTGGATGCTCTGGGTCTGAAGCCTAAAGGATCAGATTATATTTGCTGTTCCACAAATTATGCAGGCAAAAAATGTCTGAGTGGGACAGAAAATCAGCTGAACTGCATGTTTTTTAAATAAAGATGAAATGATAAACACCATGAATAATCTTTTATGTTTGTGCTATTTAATAAACCAAAACGAATTTCAACAGCCAACAGAGATCTGAAAACCATCAGTAGCCATCAATACTTAAGGCTTTTGGAAGAGTAAAGAAAAAAAATTTATTAGCGCAATTATTTTTCTACTTGGGCAAATAATTTTGCGTTCTAATTTTATTTATTCTGTAATGGTTAATTGTAGCGTTTTTTTTGTTTGTTTGTTTTTTTAGCTTCTTTGACTTTTTAAAAAAAAATTTAACATTTGATGGTTTCCTTCTATGGATCTAAAACTCTTTGTACATTCGTGAATTATGAGACTGTTTTAGCTCCATACAGATCAGGTGACGACTGCACAAGGATTTTTGAGACTCATTTCACACTTCCATATGGATTTTCTCTCCATACAGGAGATCAACATTTTTTACAGATAATCTCATAAAATACTGTTATGGCATAGTCACAGTTTTAATAAATAAACAAAAAACATGTTTTATATATTAGTTACATACTGTAGTTATAATGACATCAGCAGCAGAGTTTTATGAAGCTTTTCTATCTGCCAGGTTTGGATCACTGCACCAAACTATTTCTGTCTTATTTGGGATTTGAGTGAAATTTGTTCTTCATAACAATCACTGCATGATCAGGAGCTCAGTTATGTTTTTCATACATAAAAGTTTGATTGAAAATATAAGTTAAATATATGATTTATTCATCATAAATAAATGATACACAACCAAAATAAATGTCCATCCTGTCCTGCTGATCCCTAGTTGGGTCCCAAAGTAGCAGCCTAGGTAAGGAGGCCCAGACTTTCCTCTCCTCAGCCACTGGGACCAGATCCTCCAGGGGAACCACAAGACGTTCCCAGCTGAGAAACATCGTCCCTCCAGCAGGTCCTGGAGCGACTCTGGGCTCCTGTTTGGGCTGAGCCCGACCGGGCTCCATGGGTTAAAACAGGAAGATCATCAGAGAGAGTCACTAATCAACCTGGGAAACAGTAAAGGAAGGGAAATGTCAGGATCCTGTTATGATGTTAGAATTGCTTTATTAATACACATAAAAATGTAG